AGTGTCAACTGCCAAAAGCCCAGGACCGATGTCCCCATCCTATCTATACTCTAACACTAGCCTAGACCGACCTAGACCGGACTGACTGACCGACCGGTACCGTTTCTGTTTCGGCCTCTAGGGCCTCTCCATACCCGGCTATAGGCTATAGGACCGTCTATCAGCGTAGGCCCATAGGGCGTCTGTCCTAGGGGTAGCCCGGGTCTGCTATTCGCAGTTAGGGTAGCTGTAGGAAAATCGAGTTAGTACTGGGCCCATATTTCTATATTTACAGATATGTCCCTCACGAATTTTCCATACAGGCAGGTCTCTTGGTTAGTCCTCAGCCAAACAAAATTACGAATCTCTCCCTAACTATGGTACAGCCTCGTCAGAGTGAGGCTACAGGTACCCTGGAACCAGCAAGTCATTGCAGCATTCTCCCTCCGGGGTATATTTTCTGGCTGCAATAGACTTGTCCCTGTTTCACTGGAGGGGGGTCGCTGTCTGCTGAGGCTGGTGTGAACTGAGAGTCTGTGGAGTCTTGCACTTGGTGTGGGTGGGGGATAGTCTGCTCCGATTTTAGGTCGAGGCAGATTATGGCCCGAAGCATCAGGAGAGGGGGCCCTGAAGATTGTTTGACTCAAGGACTTTCTAGTGCCCCTTCTGGTGCTGTGCACATGACTTTTCACCCCTTGACATTCACGGGACCAAAAGCTACGACCCTAGAGTGTGTCAGTGCGAACTTTGAATTTGGTTCTTGGCAATTAGAGTATTATTATGGCATAAAACAGAAAGACGCATAAAATAGCTGCTGCAGAGCTATGAGCTGGCAGAAGCTGCCACAGGAGTGCGCACTCATTTGAGTAGTTCAAACCCACCATTACTCAAGTTGGGCACCAATCCTCCACACTTGATAGATAGATCAGACCATATGCACCTTTCTAGGACCTGGAGTCTTTCACAATCACAAATATATTATGGGGCATACTGTGGTAAGTTGCCAATTGCTAATTCACTAGCTCTGGACAAGTTTTCATGATGTGAGACTTTCAGTTGGATTTGCAAACTGTTGCTTTGTGTCATGTGCAATTGGCAGGATGGGCGAAACACAGCTTTTCGGCGCATTTATGACATCGTCAATGTATGTGAGGGGGCAGGACTTGTGGAACGTATCACATCCAGTCCGAGAAGAGATAAAGAAGTTGATCCCGAGTATGATGATCATGCACCAACACCGGGAGAGGTTGTGAATCCCCATCTGCAATGTATTGACTCGTCCAACTCACGAGCAAAGCCAGGAAAACGTCCCAAAAGAGCACGGGGCTCCAAGCATGGCAGCACTCAGGGCTACGGGTCCACATGGGCGGGAAGTGATGATGCAACATCAAGACCATCTGGGGGTCTGAGGGGAGCTCAGTCGACTCGTTCTAGCAGCAGAAAACAGGGCAGCCTCTTAAGGTATGACGTGGTTCCACCCAGTAGACCCGACATTTGCAGACACAGAGATTCAATCCCTATACCTGTGCCCAAACCCTGTACATTGACCCTGTGTGCTGAGTGAGATTTGATTCCGAGACCTACCCTGTACCTTGTACATTGACCCTGTGTGCTGAGTGAGTCTACTGAGGCCTAGAGTCTGTCTGTAAGTCTGTAGGCTCTAGAAGGTCATAGGTCCCTGTAGGCCAGTCCAGTCAGCAAGTACCAGGGGTAGGGGCTGCACGTGGGGAAGGTTCAGGAGCACGCTGTGGGTTTCACACGTTTTGGCCCAGAAGGCCAAATGTCTGGAAACTTCCCTGGGCCACACGTTTTGGCCCAGGCACACACGTTTTGAGGCAGGCCCGGGTACCTCCAAAGAGGTATAAATAAAGAGGCAGCGTCCAGCCATTCATTCATTCGCCTGTGTGCCATGCGGAAGAGCTGTCTTGGTATGTTGTGGAGGGCTGCACGTGCCCGGAGAAGAAGTGGGCTGTGAAGAAGACAGTGTCCATAGCGAACCAGCGAGAGAAACACCGGCAGCCATAGCCAGGAGGAGGAAGGCGACAGCGGCCATAGCCGCCCAGCTGTTGGTGCAGACAGGGTGTACAGAGTGTAGCGTGGACATTCAGGGTGATCCTCGTACTTGCGTGCATAAGGGAAAGTGAGGCTGGTGGTTGAGACAGTGTTCAACGGCCATAGCCGCAAGTTGTACATTTGTTGTGAACAGAGTTTAAGTGCAAGTTCGTTGTGGATTCTGCGTTGAAGAGTTTGGTTCTGCCATCAGTCCTGTGTACGCATGTTGTGAGCAAGTCTGAAGTCGAGTCTGATTGCATTGGTATCGGAGCTGGTACCCGTTGTCTACGCCAGCGGAGCTGCAGCAAGCGAAGAAGAAGGAAGAAGCCGCCATAACTGGAGCTTGGCAGAGAGGGAGAAAGAGAGAGAGACAGAGAGAGAGAGAGAGGAAGAGAGAGAAGGGGGGATGGCAGCCATAGATGCCAAGCTCGGGAAAGAAGACAATCAGTAAGAAGAAAGAGATAGACGCGGAGAGAAGGAAGAAGAAAGTGACGAAGAGGGAGACGAACTGTTGCATACTGTAATGGTGCAGACCAGAACGAGAACCGACCTCTCTCACAAAGTACAAGATAGCGTAGCGGAAGACTTAGATACCAATGATCCGAACAATCAATATTGCAATGCAGCTCCGAACATACATCATCATCATCACTCCATGGTGTGAAGGGGTCTGGCGCTCACACAGGAAGATTGCACCAGCCCCAACCATACACAGACGAAGAAGAGGGGGGTTAGACGAAGAAGAAGGGAAGATGGGAATGCCGTCAACACCAAGTCTTCGGCACAGGCCCAAATAGTCCCTTGTCAAAATGTCTGAACCCCAATGTCGAGTCTGGATCCAATGTCGTCAAGTCTCAAGTCACAACTCTCTCTCTCTCTGTCGTAGTCCGCTGATACTGAGAAGTCAGGTAGTGAGAGGGGGAAGAAGAGATGGTGGACTTAGAAGAGGAAGAAGAAGAACTCTCTCTCTCTCTCTCTCAGAGTCCGGTACTAACCTGTGAAGTTGGCGTCTTGATGCAGGTACCTCGAAGATGGAGCTGGAGCTATGGCGCCACAGGTAAGTCTCGCTGGCCTCCGCCAGCCATCTCTCTCCAACACTACTACCACTACCACTACTTAGCGCCCTGCGCTGAAGACTACTCCTACAGCTACTAGCGCCCAGTGCTGAAGACTACTCCTACAGCTACTAGCGCCCAGCGCTGAAGACTACTGCTAGCGCTAAGCTACTACTGCAGCGCTCCTCCTGAGTGCTGCTGCCGAATCCTGAAGACTGCCTCCTGCCTTCTGTCCAACTACCTTCCCGTGAAGTGCATGGGAATTCCCTACGTACTACTCGGCCTGCCTCCTGACTTCCTGCAGCTGCAGGGCGGGGCAGTCCAGGAGGCTGCTCTTGCCAATGCCGAAGGGAGCCTCAGGGCTGAAAAGCCCTCTTTTAGGCTGAAACGACATACGGTTTGCAGGCCCTCGTTTTCAGTCTTTCAGGCTGAAACGACACGGGGCCTGTAAGCCCTTATTTCTAGCTTTTAGGCTGAGAATGCGGGACGGGCCCTGCAGGCCCGTGTGGCTACGCAGTATGCCACACCCCCCCCTCCTTGAAAGACTGAGCTTACCTGCGAGGGCGAAGCTGTCTGTCTGAGGGAGGGACCACAGTCCGGGTGGGAGGGGCAGGTCGTGAAGTTCCCTGAGCTAACCTTTGTCGCTCGTAGTGAGCGTAGATTAGCGGTGCGGATGCTTTCAAATCTGTTCCTGAAATCCACCAAGTGTCGTCGGGATCGCATGCTTTAAATGTAACTTGTACTGTCGAGGCTTGCTGCCGTACTTGCGATCCGTGATGACGAGGTCAACTTTCTGATGACCATCCATAGATGGAGGGTCCTACGATCGTCGGCCCGGGAAGTCGTCGCTCTTAGCTGGTGTATATGTTGCCAGCTTCGAGGCGTGAAAGACTGGATGGACCATCAGATGCGGGGGGATGTTGATCACAAATGAGGGGCCATCGGGCTCATCGCCCGCGGCTGATGTTACGGGCCATGGTCCAAACCACTTGGGGAGCACTTTGCGTGAAACATCCTATTTCAGTGCAAACTCTTTCGCGGAGACCCAAACCAGATCTCCGGCGCGGATGGGACACGGCGCTCGACGCCTGTTGGCTTGCTGCTGCATGCGGACTTGAGCCTTTTGCACGTTTGCGCGGGCTTGAGCCAGCAATTCCCTGTACTTCCGAACGGAAGCGGGAGAGCAAGCGGCGTCGATGTCGGCTGGTCGTGGGAGGAGCAGATCGGCGAAGATACGGCCTTTCCGTCCACCGTGGTGCAACTCGAATGGAGTCACGCCGATCGTCGGGTGCACCGAAGTGTTGTAGGCGAACTCGATGTCGGGAAGGCGGTCAACCCAATCTTTCTGATTCGGACGGATGAGCGTACGAAGCATCATTTGAGCGGTTTGATGTGCCCGCTCCGTTTGCCCGTCCGTCTGGTTTCATCTTCGTGTCGGACTCCTGCATGAGAGCAGTCCAAAATGCCGACATGAAGCGAGTGTCGCGTCGCTGACTATGTCTTCCGGTACACCGTGGCCGCAAATCCAGCCGGTGTGCAAGAGGCGTGCCAGCTCGGGAGCCGTGGAGTAGTACTTGCAAGGGAGAAAACGCGCGTACTTACTCGAACGGTCCACGCCCGTGAGGATGCCGTCGTGCCCGAGGCGATCGTGGGGAAATGGCCCGGTGACATCCATGGCAATGGAGAGGCCGGGTTCCCGTGGGATAGGCATCGGGCGCAACTCTCCGTAGGGGTTGCGATTGCGGGGCTTGCTTCGTCGGCAAACTTCGCAAGAGTCGCAATATCGAGTGACATCGGTAATGAGGTCGGGCCATCGGAATCGTTGTCGAAGCCATGCAATGGTGCGATTGACTCCGAAATGGCCGGCGAGTCGCGAATCATGATACTCGCCGAGAAGGCGAGTCCGAAGACGACAGTCTCGTGGGACACATAGTAAGTCCTTGCCTCTCGAGTGGAGGAGCAAGTACGCGTCGGCAATGCGATAGTGGCTGGCCGGCGGGTGATCCGAAGATAGCTGCGCATACAACGTGGCGAAGTCCGGATCAGACTCATAGCCCCGGATGCAGTGTCGCTGGAGTTCCTCATCGAATGCGAAGGCATGATGTGTCATAGCCCAAAGATCAGGTCTTTGCGAGAGTGCGTCTGCTGCGCGATTGGAGAGGCCGGGGAGATGTTTCGATGTGAAGTCAAATTGGTCGATGAAGTACATCCATCGTCCGATCGTGCTGCTCACCGTATCCGGCGTCTTGTAGTAGGTCAATGGGTTGTTGTCTGTGACCCATGTGAACCTTCGACGCCCAAGGAGGAAGTGCCGCCATCGCTTGAGAGCCATCACGAACGCGAGCAGCTCCTTCTTCCTTGCATCATCAAGTGAATGATGAGAGGCACTTTGTGGGTGAAATACTCCACAGGGTGCCAGTCGTCACCGCCGTTTTATCCAAACTGCCCCAATGCCATAGCCGGAAGCGTCCGTAGTCACTCTCGTAGGCAGGGTGGAGTCATATATGCTAAGGACGGGTGCCATGAGCATGACCGTCTTAAGTGCTTGGAATGACCGGCGTGCGTCGTCATCGAATACGAATGGCACCTTTGGCGATTGTAATCTCGTCATAGGTGCAGCAATCCTTGAGTACCCGGTGATGAATCGCTGATAGTAGCCCGCCAACCCCATGAATGAACGGACGTTCGTGGTGTTAGTGGGCTCGGGCCATATGCGGAGGACCTCGATCTTGTCCGCAAGTGGACGGATGGCTTGCGGCGTCACAAATTGTCCCAAGTACTCCAGCTCCTGCCGCGCGAATTCGCATTTGTCGCGGTTGGCATTGTACTTGGCTTGTCTTAGCCGCTCCAAAACGGTGCGCAGGTGTTCCACATGCTCGTCCAAACTCCGGTTGTACACCAGGATGTCGTCGAGGTAGATAAGTACGAATCGATCCAGCATGTGCCGGAACTCCGTTGTCATAGCCGCTTGGAAAGTGGTCGGGGCATTCATAAGGCCAAATGGCACCACCAACCATTCGAAATGCCCATATCGCGTCTTAAACGCAGTCTTGTAGCGGCCCTTCTGCCGAATCTCGAGTTGGTGATATCTCGACTTGAGGTCCAGCTTTGAGAAGAACTTGGCGCCGCCCAGCCGTTCGAGGAGGTCGTCGATGCGTGGAAGAGGGCCGGCGTTTCAGGCCGTTTGCGCGTTGAGCTTGCGATAATCGATGCACAACCGCAAATCCTTGTTCTTCTTTCAGACGAAGAGAACTGGCGCACCGTATGGCAATGAGCTAGGCCGAATCCATCCTTTCTGCAGAAGGTCGTCGAGTTGTGTCCGTAGCACACTTAGCTCTTCCTCGCTCATTCGGTAGATGTAGCCACGCGGAGGTACAACCCAGTCCTCGAGGATGATCTTGTGGCGAACGGGTCGATCCGGTACTACTCCGTGCGGGCCTTCGAACACGTCGCCGTAGGCGTCGAGAAACTCGGTGATGCGTGGGTCTGAAGATGAGTCCGTCGATGAAGCGTCATGGGGCAGGAGGGCGTGGAGAAAACACCCCCCCATCTACTCGATGTCGTCTCTGACGATGGAAGCTCGCATGCTTGCGGCGGGACCACGTGGCAGCTGATCGAAGGGTGAGRAGGAGGCACCGTGCATGGGACTAGTACTCCGTTCCGATCATGAACGTGAACGGTGCAGCGGTAGAAATTCACCGGGTGATCTTCGGTTCGCAGCCATGACATGCCCAAGATCATGTCGAATTTGATGTCCAAAATATCGAAGGACACCGCCTCGCTTGCATGCGGGGCAAAGTACATGGGGATGTCATCAATGCACCTGTCGATTGACTTGTGCGTGTGACCGTCTGCCAACGTGACTTGCGTAGGCTGGGACTTCCTCCGGTACATATAACAATGGTGCGTCGATGTCATCGTACCGTTGTGTCCTGAACTCGCGGTCGATCTTCGCAATGTAATTGTGAAGGTCGATAACCTCTACTCCGGCGTCCATCAACGGAGTTGGTACTGCAGTGTGCAAGTAATCCCGTAGTTGTGCCATGAGCACGTTGCAATGTGGTTTCGGCAATCGACCGGACCGGGGAAGGGGTATCCATTGGAAGTCCGCAAACGTCAACGGGTCGAGCTCTTCAAGTCTTGACCATGTCGTCGAATCCCCGGCTATAGATGGTGGCGAAGCTGCCGACTCGGTTGCCGATAGTAGTGAAACCGTGCATGCGGTGGATTGTTGCACGTGGAGTGGTTGGTCCAACGGTGGGACCATGTGGACAGCATAGTCCTCGTAAGTGTACCGAGAACTTGCGACATTCGCATCCACCCCAGATGTGTAGGAGGCCATTAGCAAGGCGGCCGAATCTAGCAGAGTGAGAGGTGGAGTCGCCTCACCTCCCGCGAAACTCAGTTTCCCGAGTTGATACAAGGCCGAACGTCCTCCTTGCCTTGATCCGGGCATTGGGAGGTCTTGTGCTTGGTGCTGTTGCGCCAATAGCAGCAGCCGTAGCGGTCGCGCCACTTGTATTCCGCCTCGGTCAAGTGAAACTTGACCCATGGTGCTGGCTGTCCGTTTCCGGCCGGCGATGCGGTTTTCCCCTTCCCGTTTCCTCTGGACTTGTTGTTGCTTCGCGGCTGGACAGTAGCCACCTGATCTCCCTCACGCTTGGGTGGCTGCCAGGTCTTCCACAATGTTGTCCGTGTGGACTGCAGCGACATGCTGCGGCCGCGGACCAGTTTTCACCTTCTCCACATAGGTTGGCTGCCATGCTGATTTCTCGTGTGCAGTTGCCCTATTGGTCTTGATGATCTCCCTTGCCTTGTCGATGATTTCAGCGAAGGTTACATATTGATCGCGATCACCAAGTGCAAGGCTCAAGGCGGCACATGACCGGTTGTAGAATTCGCGGCGCAGATGCGAAAATGGCAAGTCAAGGTCGGGCGTTGCCGCGATCTTTTGCCATTCCGTGAGCCAGTCACGTTTCGATGTGTTGCCCTGTGTCATAGCGAAGAGGCGGTTGATGGCGAGTGCTGGTGCGTCGTCCACGATGAACCGCTTCTTCCATAGCCGTGTTAGCTCTTCCCAAGAGATCTTATGTTTCAGATCTGCGACGTCGACGCCGTGGACGGTTGCCAGGTGGCTCAACCAGATCTGGCATCCGCCCTTTGAGTTGAGGAACAGTGCGCCGATGTACACGTGCTTGGCGACGAACAGGATCCGAAGTTGCGTCGTAAAGCCCTCCCACCAGAGGACCGGGTCTTGATGTGTATAATCATCGAACTTCTCGATTTGGAATGTCGGCATCTTGTAATGCTATGTGGTGTTGCCGTCCTTGTTAGGCAGCTGCAGTTGCTGAACCTCGGTCTTCAAGGTGTCCAGCTGGTTGCTGATGGTGGCTGGTGCAGCGAAGGTACGTGGTCAACTCGTTCCTCCAGTTGGCGGGCAGAGGGTGCACTGCTGAACTCGCCAGCCTCCGGCCTTGGTGCAGTTTGCTCCAAGTCCTGTACACGGGAATCAAGTGCCCGTGCTGCATCCTCGTGCTAAGCCTTGTGGTTCCGTACGGCCCGCTGGAGGTTCGCCAGCTCGGACTGCAGGTGGTTACAGGTGTAAACCAACTGGGTTACGAGCTTGGCCAAAAATTCCTTATGTTGCTCCTCCGGTGTCACGTCGTCGTGCTCCTCGGAAGGTTCAAAGTGCCAAAACTTGAGCTTTTCGATGCTGGTGGCTTCATGCCGCTGTAGCAGATCCTGGGCTTCCTTGCGGCGTGCCTGGGTATCTGCGTCTGCTTCGGCTTGAAGCCGCTGCTTCTCAGCTGTTGCCGCCGCTTCAGCCTGTAGGCAGACAGCCTCGGCTGCCACCTGGCGCTGTTCCTCAGCCTCGATCAGTGCGAGCTGACTCTGGAACCGCCGTCGGTACTCGGCAGTAGACTCATTGGCCAGTTGGCCTGGCATGCCAAGAGCTGAGCCCGTCATGGTGGCGGGGCACTGCTGACGTGGTACTGTGGCACTGCTGACGTGGCATTGCTGCTGATGTGGCACTGCTGACATGGCACTGTTGGTGACGTGGCACTGCTGACGTGGCACTGCTGACATGGCACTGCTGACGTGGCACTGCTGACGTGGCACTGCTGACGTGGCACTGTACCAACCCAGAAATGCATGCAAAGGGGTGGGTGGGAGGGAAAACGCAGGTAGGTAACCAACCAAGCAATACTTTCCTCCCGGCCCTAATCAACAGATAAATAAATAAAAAAATAAAAAAAAGAGGACTACTTCCTTTTTTTTTTTTTTTTTGTATATCTGTCGATCTGTTATGGGTGAGACATGTCAGAAGAGTACTATGAGCGAGATCTACGCTAGGTTCCGCAAAGTTTCGGCTTTCACGAAAATGCGATCTTGAAACTTTTTTTTGCGAAATAGAGTAGAGCTGCGTTTTTCAGACAAGAACTAAATCAAGTTCCTGAGAATATGGCAACCTCCTAATATGCCTAACGAAATGCTGGTAGGCTTCGCAACATCTCGGTTTTCAAAAAAAAATTGCGAGATAGGATGGAGATTTGATTTTCAGAAGAGAATAAATCCGGTTTCCGAGAATATGACCACCTCTATCGTTATCCTAGTATGCCTAGAAAACGAAATGTTAACATCAGAAATTTTTGGCTATGTACGCAAATATCAGAGAAACGAAATGCTACTATCAGGAATTTTCAGATAAAACGAAATGCGATTATCAGAAATTTTCAGATATTTGTTGGGTGAAAACGAAATACGAATATCAGAAATTTTCAGGTAAAACGAAATGCGATTATCAGAAATTTTCAGATATTTGTTGCGAGAATTTTCTTTTTTCAGAGATTTGACGAAGTCCTACTTGATTTACTAGTGAGTAATCAATAGATCAAGCAAGCTGGCTACTTGATTGAGCGGGTCCTCTGAATGAGAGGTCCGCTCCGATACCAAACTGTTGCATACTGTAACGGTGCAGACCAGAACAAGAACCGACCTCTCTCACAAAGTACAAGATAGCATAGCGGAAGACTTAGATACCAATGATCCGAACAATCAATATTGCAATGCAGCCCCGAACATACATCATCATCATCACTCCATGGTGTGAAGGGGTCTGGCGCTCACACAGGAAGATTGCGCCAGCCCCAACCATACACAGACGAAGAAGAGGGGGGGTAGACGAAGAAAAAGGGAAGATGGGAATGTCGTCAACACCAAGTCTTCGGCACAGGCCCAAATAGTCCCTCGTCAAAATGTCTGAATCCCAATGTCGATTCTGGATCCAATGTCGTCAAGTCTCAAGTCACAACTCTCTCTCTCTCTGTCGTAGTCCTCTGATACTGAGAAGTCAGGTAGTGAGAGGGTGAAGAAGAGATGGTGGACTTAGAAGAGGAAGAAGAAGAACTCTCTCTCTCTCTCTCTCTCTCTCTCTCTCTCTCTCTCTCTCTCTCTCTC